TCTGTGTATGCCTTCTCTCACTAATTTCTTATGTTGGTCTGATTATGCCATTATTTCTGAATTCATTATTTCTTGCTCAGTAAACTGAATATTGATGAGAAGCTGAAGTTTATTTTTCCGCTTTTCCAGGTTTGAGTGTCCAAGATCTGTGAAAATATGTTTGGTTAAAGCCTTCTCAAATGATCACGAGAAGAGGACTGGATTTTTGTTTTAATGGGTTTTTTTTTTCTTTTGCTCCAAGGATTTAGAGATACAATTTAAGGCGAATGGATTTGAAGTTGTAGGAATTCATTCTCTCTTGTTTTCTGATGGATTTGTTGAAATTTAGACTTCTTGTGCTGAGTTTATTATGGGATATCCAATTAACGTTTCAGTAAAATTATGAACTCTTACGGAGTTTCGAATGGAAAGTTAGATGGGAACAAATTCGAAAATTGATAAGATGGATTAGGTGACTGTTTGACATGTTTTTACAGTTCTTAGAGAGGATTAAAAGTGTTTTTTTGTTTGGTTTTGTGTTAGTGTTGTTTTGAGTGTGTTTAATTTATAAGAGTGCTTTTTAAAATTTTTTTACAATCAAGTTCAAAAGTATGAGAAATTTTATGGATCGATAAGAAGCGTTAAAGTGCTAAGCTTGTTCAGCTTATTCTTTCTTTCATTTACAAGAAAGGAATCTGTATTTTATAAAATGGAGAGATTACTAATATTCAAAATACCATTTGCTAAGAATGATTTAGTTATTGAACTTTTGTTCGTGCACTTCAAAATTGGTTAGGTTTTATTAAATGGCTTATTGTGTTGGTTAGTTAAATCTCGAGACGATTCAAATTTAAATCAGATTTAGGACTTAAAACGGGAACGAATAATTTTTAAAAAAATGTCTCCCCCTTTCATCGAAATAATTGGGTGTTTGGGGTATTCTAATCCAAACAATCTTTTTATTTATGTTTTGGAATATATTGGAAATGAGTACAAGAAAAGACATGTAACTCTGGGAATGGGAGTTCGAACACAAGACCTTCGACTCTAATACCATTTAAGGATAATAAATCACCACTCAACCCATTTTCATTTTCATTTATGCATATTGGATAAATTTAATTCATTTATGAGTATCTCAACGGATGTCAAAACTCACATTGCTATCCGTTGGACATTCGAATTTCATCTAGATGAATATATAACACAAATTAATTATTATTATTATACTAAAATAATAAAGATAGAGAGTGAGATGTCTCTAAGTCTTATTAATTCGACGCTCTATGTATTTTTACAGTGGTATGATATTTTTTGGGATAATCCGGGCTCTCCACCGTTTTTTTGTTCATCATCATAGATCATTCAACCACAACTTCACATGATTAATTGCTAGTTACTTCTTATTCAACATCTAAAGATTTCGTCTACGCAGGGTCTTTCCATATCTTTATAAGGGTATGGATATGATATTGATCACTTTGAATTTAAACGTCTGCATTATTTTATTTTTAGATTCTATCGTAAAGAGTACGAGCCAAATAAAAACGTTTTGGGCCACTCATAAATACTCATGACTTTGGTGGCATCCAACAAAAATATTGTGTCATGTAGCTTCATCTATACCCAGAGAAGAATAAGAGCTTCAAATTACAACTCCTTCAGCTGCCTTTGGATTTAAATTAAGAAACAGGACCACATTTTGGGTGTCAATGCCATTGCTATTGTGCATGCATTTGTCACGAGAAAAAATCCACTATGTGAATTTTTTTTTACAATCACACAGATTTCTCTCCTCAATCCTAATTACACAAAACACTTTCTCAAAGTAAATACCGCTCAATTAATTAGAGTTTGTATAACAAGCATAAAATATTTCTATTGAGATGATTAAAATCCAAAGTCATGGACTCCTTTTATAGTAGTTGAAACACACTCCCTCCTCGTACCTTTCTAATATGGGACATCTTCTATCACTTCGAGCACACTTTATCCTTGTATTCTTCGGACAACTCTCATTCCAATATTTTACCAAAATCCAACACTTTTGACCTGAATTCTTAGTTTCTTCAAATTTACGGTGTCCATTTTGAAATGCTCTCTTGCCTGAAAATTGGACAAAGTATCAATGAAGAGTAGGGCAGACCGGTACCCACAAATTAGATAATATATTTTTAGATTGGGCTCATTTGGTCTTTATATATATCTATTTTTGCCTCTCTTTTTTTAACTTTGGTTCATTTTAATTTTTGTGCTTTCAATGTTCTCTTTGGTCCTTGTCGTTTTAAAAATGCATCATTTAATTTTGGTCCCTTCATTTTCATTTTTAAAAATGCAACTCGGAAACGGTGAGGTGGCATAAGAGACGATCTATCATTTTCCAAGCATAATTCTTAGAAATAGTTTGGGAGTTGATATATATTTGGAATAAGTTTCAATTAAAACATTACTAAAAAAAGGGCAAAATACATTTTTGGTCCCTGAGGTTTAAGGTAGGTGTCTACTTGATCCTAAAGTTTCAAAATGAACATTTTTGGTCCCTAAAGTTTGAGATAGGTGTCTAATTGGTCCTTGAAGTTTCAAAATGAACATTTTTTATCCTTGAGGTTTAAAGTAGTTGTCAACTTTGTCCCTGAAGTTTTAAAATAAACACTTTTGATCCTGAAGTTTGAGTAATAGTTCTAAATGGTCCTTGAGTTTTTTTTTTTTTTTTTTGCTGTTAATTAACTAATATTAAAGTGACGTGGCAAATTGCAATTAAATTGTTATTATAGTTGCTGATGTGATAAATTATATTAGTTAAATGATATGTGTCTGGTATGAATGGCCGACGGAGGTGGCGACAAAGACATGGTGGTTCCCGAAAAAGGGTAGGAGAAAGAGGGACGAAGAGATAAGGAGAGGAGAGAGAGAGTACTATCACCTTCACATATATTATTTAATTAATATAATTTGCCACATGATCAACTACAATGAACAATTTAATTGCAATTCGCCACGTCATTTTAATATTAGTTGATTAACAGTAAATAAAAATCAGGAACCATTAAGAACTATTTCTTAGACTTCAGGATCAAAAGTGTTCATTTTAAAACTTCAATGACCAATTAGACACTTATCTCGAACCTCAGRGWCTAAAAGTGTTAATTTTGAAATTTTAGGAATCAAGTAGATACATAGCTTAGACCTCATGGACCAAAAATATATTTTACCCTTAAAAAAATCCATTGGAATTATCCATCTCTAGATTTATTTCATTTTATTTATAAAAGGAAAAGAAATTAATTTTAAAAATGTAATGGTAAAATTGTAATTACATGAAAGGAAGAGACCGATTGTGGTCCCACAGAGGGAGGCAGCAACACCTGACATTTAAAGTCGACAGTGGGTCCCACTTCCTAACGAACCTCATTAATCACTTAGTGGGTCCCACTTTCGTGTTTTTTTAATTGGGTAAATTACAGAAAATATCATCAAACTTTTCTATTTGTTTTGAAAAAAAAATAGTCCTCTTATTTCGAAGTTAAAACAATGTGATTGGCTTTTTATAACCATTCCAAAAATATCGGTTAAGCACTCATTTCTTTAGAGCGAAAGATAGCCATACGTTTTAGTCTCTAAGCTAAAGGAATGTTTTGGGGGATCTAAATCTCAGAGATCAATAAATATCGTACATACAGTAGGGTAAGTACCTCATCCACACACAGAAAAATTTATAGTAGATGAAGCTTAGTAAAGCGATTCGATATCTATTAATACGTTATTCAGTCTCTTCCTTTTGTTTGAAACAACACAACTTAATGTTTAATCAAACTTCGTCTTAAACCCACCATGAATCAATTGAGAATCAATTAGTCGATTGTGTTAATATTTTGAAATGAGAGTTGAATGTGGCTCAATTTGAAATAACGTGACAATTAATAGAGAAACTTACATTGATTAAGTAAAAAAAATAGAGAAAAATGTGAAGAACCATAGTTTTAAAAGAAAGATGATGACAAAATCAAGTGGACAATTAAAAAGCAAACTTTAGTGACGATAGGAAAAAATAAAACGTTTATGACAAAATCGAGATGTTAATTGCCACTCATTACGTCAAATAAAAAATATTAACGAAAAATTAATCAGTAGGTATTTTAAGTATCCAATAAATTGTTAAAACTGTAGAAAGAATATGATATTTTTTAAACAAAATGGCAAAAAAATTTCCCCATGCGTAAATTTTCCACACGACCACGTTTGTCCTTTCCTCAAACCTCAAATAATTTCTTAGGGCCTCAAATAATTAATCCTATCATAGTATTCGAATTCTAACATTTATTACATTTTTACTCCCTTTTATTAAATTACCCATTATTGGAGGAGGCTGCCTCTTTTTCTTTTTTCTTTTTTCTTTTGTTTAGTTGACATATGAGAGAGAAATTATCTAATTTATTTTGAATTTGTATTCAATTCAATATCAGGACATGCAAATTTTGAATATTTATCCAACAATAACAATTAATAAGTAGCAATATTACGGTGTCTTCATTTAATAATTTTGTCCAATTTTGACCAATTACTTTAAAATTTTTAATCCAATCCGTATAGTTTAGTTAAATATCATGTTCTTGGTTGTCTACTTGGTTGATTATGATTGGTGGATATATTAAGATTTAGGGTTTAGTATAAATTAAGAGAAACTAGGTGGGTGAAAAATAATTTAGAGAAGAATGGTAAAATTCACCTAAAATAAGAACAAATTTTATTTAGTGTTAAAATATAGTTATGATGCTTACCTTTTATCTCAATTTCTAAGTTAGTCCCTCAAATTTTAATATTAAAAAATTCAAATATTTTTAACTAAATTGTGGCATGTCTCTTTTATTATTACCATTATTAGATGACATCTATGATTTTGAATATGCTAAAACAATTATAATATTATTTTATAAAAATGTTAATACGAAAATATTTAAATAGTATGTTAACATCAATAATAATTTATTGATATTCTTTTGTACTTTATTTATATATTTGTTATACAACGAAAATGTTAATTTATCTTTTATATATCAATGTCAGATTGGTTAACATATGTAAATATATAGTGGAAGTATGAAAATTTAATAGCTAGATAATTGTTTACCTTGAATTGGACGGTCACGATTGAAACTAGACTCTTGCGATTCGAGTCCACCAACGCACGTGGTTCCTATTTTTCCACAATGTTCTTTTTCAAAGGTCAAACAAGAAGCGTTGACCATAGCCCCCAATTTCGACTCTTAAAGTTAAATCACCATTTCTTTCCCACCGTCGTATAACTTAAGTTTTCTTTTAAAATAAATTCACTTACCATGAAATTATGTATAGTTAAATTTATTTTAATTTTATTTCACTCAACAATTCTTCATGTATTATTTACATTCCAAAGCTTTTCGGGTGTGCAAATAAATATCAACTTTCGGATCTTGATTT